AGTTTGTCACTCTTTCTTCCTAGTCTGTCTTTGTTTTGTAGCTCATCTGAAACCTGTCCACCATGGGTGACCCTGCTGGTTATTTAAAACACCAGTGGCATAGCCCTCAGAATCATAGCAACTCAAACCACCACAGCACGACAGACAGACGTGAGGGATATTGGTCTATAATTTTCCTTCTTAGAGATGTCCTTCCCTGGTTTTGGCATGAGGGTTGTGCTTGCTTCATAAAAAGTATTAGGGAGTTTTCCATCCTCTTCTATGTTCTGGAATAATAATTTGAGTAGAACTGGTGACAGTTTTTCTCTGAATGTTTGGTAGAACTCACCCGTGCTGCCATCTGGGCTTGGGCTTTTGTTGGTCGGGAGTTTCTTGATGTTCTGGCCAATTTCTTCTTTTGTTATGGGTTTGTTCAAATTTTCTACTTTAGTCTGAGTAAGTTTAGGTAGGTCATGCTTTTCTAGAAATGTCTAATACATCTTGTCCAAATTTTCGAATTTGTTGGAGTGCAGCTCTTTGTAGTATTCTGTTACTGTCTTTTTGATTTCGTTTTTGTTGTGACTTCTAATGTGTGATTAATTTGTGTCCTCTCCCTCTTGTCTTTAGTTAGTTTTGCCAATGGTTTGTCAATTTTATTAATCCTTTCAAAGAACCAGCTTCTTGTTCTGTTTATTATTCTTTCTATGGTTTTTCGGTTTTCCATCTCATTTATTTCTGCTCTTATCTTTATTATTTCCCTTCTTTTGGTGACAGTAGGTTCCCTCTGCTGGTCTGCTTATAGTTGTTGAAGGTGCTGTGTTGATGTGTGTATTTATCGCAATAAATTGTCCTCTCAGGACTGCTTTCGCTGTGTCCCAAAGAAATTGGTATGTTGTGTTTTCATTCTCATTTGTTTCTAGGAACTTTGTGAATTGACCTTTAATTTCTTCTTTTACCCAGTCGCTTTTCAGCAGGGTGTTGTTCATTTTCCATGTATTCGACTTTACTGTTTTGGCCTTCTTATTGTTGATTTCTAGTTTTATAGCGTTGCGGTCTAAGAAGATGCTCTGTAGAATTTTGATGGTTGTGAATATATGGAGGCTTGCTTTGTGGCCTAACACATGGTCAATTCTGGAGAATGTTCCATGCGCACTGGATAAGAATGTGTATTGTGCCGTTGTTGGACAGAATGCTCTGCATACATCCATGAGGTCAAGTTGGTTGATTGTGTTGTTAAGTTCCTCTGTAGCACTGTCGAGTTTCTTTCTGGTTGTTCTATCCCTTTTCGAGAGTGGTGTGTTGAAATCTCGTACTATAATTGTGGCTTTTTCGATTCCTTTCTAAAATTCTATTAAAGTTTGCTTCATGTATCTTGGTGCTCTTTCGTTGGGAGCGTATATATTTATTATGGTTATGTCATCTTAATTGACTCTTTGATCATGAGATAGTGTCCTTTTTTTGTCTCTTATGCTGGTTTTTATTTTAAAGTCTACTTTGTTGGAGATTAGTATTGCCCCTCCTGCTTGTTTTTTGCTGCTGTTGGCTTGGTAAATTTTTTTTCCATCCTTTGACTCTTTTAGTCTGTTTCTGTCTTTGTGTGTAAGGTGTGTCTCTTGCAGGTATCATATTGATGGATCTTGTTTTCTTATCCATTCTGCCATTCTTTGTCTCTTCACTGGTGCATTCAATCCATTGATATTCAATGTAATTATCAATAAGTATGCATTGATTACTGTCATTATGTTACTTTTTTGGCGGTGTTGTTCCTTCTTTGGTTCTGCTTTCCTTCTTGTATTGGGGTTTGTGTTTTTTGAGTTGTTTCCAGTCGGTTTCTTCCTAGTTGTTCTGCTTAGGAATTCGCTATTATGATATATTGTGGATTGTTAACTTTCTTTAGGGTTACCTTGTAGTCTACTATCTCTGCAGTTAGGATACTCCATTGTAACCTGTAATTTAACTGACATCCCACTTCCTGGGATTCTGTTGCTGTGTTTGTCCCTTCTTTGACAATGATATGTTTATGTCCTTCAGTTGATCTCTGGGCTCCCTTGAGTTTGCTGTTGTAGTCTCGTTCTGTTCTGGACTCTGCTCTCTGTTGGCTGTGTTCCAGGTGGTGTTGCCATACCTGTCAATCTTTGTTTGTCATCTGTTCTTGTTGGTTCTCTATCCCCAGAACTCCCTTTAGGATGTTTTGAAGTGCTGGGTTGGTTTTGATATAATCTTTAAGATTCTGTTTATACTGGAATGTTTTGATCGCACCATCGTATTTGATTGATAGTTTTGCTAGATAGACGATTCTTGGTTGA